TGTTGTAAATATTGGTATAACCCTGTCACCCAATCTTCTCAGATCTACACATAAGTATGTGCGGCATGGTGTGTAATCTGTTCAGAAATGCCTAAAATGTCAACCGCTTTCTTAGATCAATGATTGAAAATGGCGTCTAGTGAATGAAGTCGATAGGTATGAGACAGGGAAATCCTTCTTCGAACTTCCTGGACTGGCGCTACAGAATCACAAACAAAGAATTGTATCAAGTAACAAAAACCATATCACTTGAAGATTTTCAGTAACAACAACAACTAAAATTGTTATTCCATCTAACTCGATGAAAAATTAATGTCGTAATCAAAAATGTGGCTGTTCCAAATTACTTCGGGCAAAAGGTTAGGAAGGAAACACCCATTAATACAGACAAAAAGTATAATAGTAACTAGACATAAGAAATCTCCTTTCCTGAAAAATTGTTTTAATCTTCTTCTATGTGCCATGTCCTTTCAGGACGTCGGCGATCATGGCTCTCCAAAGCTTCTTATATTTTGTAGCTCTTAGCAATGTTTTCCTTTGTGCAATCTCTTGTATTATCTGTTTTATCAACCATTTATAAATAGAAATATTTTATAAACTGGTTCAGGAAAGATATCGCTGAAGATCTGAACTGTTTTGGAATATTGCCTTATGTCCCTCATAAGTGGAGAGACAGACCCAGACCCCACAAGAGATGATCAGCATTCGAAACACTGTTTAGTATAACAACTATCCTGTAAGGGTAACATCTGTTTCTGCGTATAAGGGCAGAAGGGTCAAGAAACTTAGTTTATGGCCATAGAATTTCACGACTGGATTGCCAAAGAGACATATTTTTACTGTACGTCATGTACCCTATCAAACTGCTGCTTAATCACTTGATTGATGCCACTTATCATGGTCGATTTTCAAATCCAATATTACTTCTATCTCTTAGAGAATTCCTAACATCGATCTTTCCAATGATTTTTGTGCCTTTCTAATTTGGTTTTTGATATAATGGAATATGCATACACCTGAGTTCCCCCTCACTGGAATATGATTGGCTGGTGTCCGTCATAAATACAGACGGACGTGTAGGTATGAGAGAGTTTAAGTCTATGACGACGCACATTGGACGACGCCATTGGCTATTCTATTGGTCTACACCTATTACGCACGACGAGTACCAGTCGATTACTGCTACCGTGTACTACTTGATTACAAAAACCAAAACCACTTAGCTACTTCGATCAAATATATCCCTTTTCGGGACATATCAGTTTTCAAGCGATGTTGTTAATTCCTATCTCAAAGCCAGGCGTTACATCATAATTTTTAATCAATTATGTCACAAAAAGCTGTTGTATAGAACTAAGAGTTAATTACTCTTAAGACTATTTAATTGATTGTTCTTAAATGAACGCTTCTGATTCTTTTTCCAATCATTTTTGCCATCCAAAGCTTCCTTCCTGATTTTTTTTCGTTTTCAGTTTTTCACTAAAGTTCACCTACTACAAGACTCCAGAGCCTCTCAAGCTAGAGAGTTGAATAGGGTACGTGGTATGCATGTAAGAGGAGGTAGAAAATAGTGAATACTATGGGGATAAGGAGGAAAGATAACGATTGGCCTTTGACTTGAAAAGGTTACGATTGTAGTGTTCGAGGAAGCATCCACATGGGAGTGTTTTCCACAACGTAGCAGTTCTTGTCTGAGTGGAACATAATTCTTACAAGTGGAATGTGGAGGTGACTTGGATGATTCGATTTTATGGATATAGCATCGTTTCTCCTAGCTGTAAATGTTTGAACTAGTGGAACTAAAGAATGCAGAATTTGCCATGGAAATAGCGATAGAATCGCGATGGGCTTATGATTTTGCGTCTGTAGCAAAAAGGTATCTATATACTGATCGATGAGGGTTCTTTCTGGGCTGACGCTGGATGTTTTTCTCATAATTTGGAGTCCATAGTTATTATCAATAGTTAGAGGAGCAAAAAAAAAGGAAGTCGTGGAAATCCATGATCACCTAAATTCTGGTGGGATTCAGCATATAAAAGATGCCAAAGCTGAAATACCTATCTGTACCTGTACCCGTAAAGGCATTCACCCGGGGTGGGTTGAGCCGGCTCCAATATTGGAGTTTCATGGGAATTTGGAATTCACAAGTGGTCCCCAACCCGCATGTATAGCACTTGAGATTTGATTATAGTGGTGAAGGTTTCGTGCAGGAAGCTGAAATACATGTTTGCTTCTCCAGCAATAGTTACTAAACCGCACTCAGCCTGTCCGTAATTTTTGGTATGTTCCTTCATCGGACAATTGTTACTTCCATGCCACGCCCATTGTAGCGAAGCACTCTCATTCCCTCCGTATTCCACTGCTGAGAAATAAGTTCCATTCAAGCAGTTTCATCTCGCAAACCAAAGCTCCAAGTGGATGTTTTCCTGATCAAGACAATCTTATTCAAATCTAGAGCTAACTGTTATCTTACCCATATATGCGCATGTACTGTGCGTCTTACTTTATAAGCCTCTATCTCGAGTGGTTCCCGGGCCTTTTACAAACACAAGAAGGAAGTTCCGCACAGACAACCTTTTTTCTCAAGAACTGCCAATTTATGGAACATGCTCCCGTGCCGATGCTTCCCAGAAAACCTTAATGTTGACCACTTCAAGCAAAGGGTGAATTGTTATATATCCTCCTTATCATCATGCTCTCCGATCTCTACAACCTTCCCTTTCACTCATAGTTCACACCTCGTTCATTATTTCCATTTCAAGTATAAGGTTCTATCTTAAAAGGCTCTCGAGCCTTGTATTAGGTGAACTTTAGTATAAAAATCACATTTATTTTCTCCGTATTCTAAATTTAATAAAGTTCAACTCAGATGTCCCCCAAGAACTGTCACACTGTCAAACAGATTCCCGCATAAGTGCTTTCCACTTCAATCTTGGGCTTTTTAAGTGAAGGATCAATCGATATCTATCATACTTTATGTTGTAGAGTAGTTTTCCCAGTGGAGGCTTGTATTTCGCTAAGTCGGTCCTAAAAGGGTCCGACGTACAAAACGTTAGGAACTTGAAATAAGAGATAATGACGCAGCAATCTAGTTGTGGTGGTTGATACTTCAATGTCCGACATCGACTGACTCGCTCAACACCACTGAGCCCAACTGGCCACTGCTACTACTACTTATTATCTGTGGGAGAGTCTATTACAATAGAATAGGTAATGTTCTCGTATAACACTTTATATTCTCCAAATTCTACCACCTTCCACTCATATCTTACGTTTCATTAATTATTACCATTTCAACTGAGCAACTCTCTATCCTTGTACTAGATGAAATTTAGTAGGGATCCTTGATAAAATCAAAAAGAATCTGCAATGTTATTGGCCCTGACTTGACATTTCGGCTTCAGTCACTTTCCTACCGCCGTAATGTAGCTTCCCTGCGCCTTTTCTATAAATCCTTTTTGCGCTATTTGTTCTGAACTACGAAAATGTTCCATTGGCCGAGTATTTTGACGGATTTAAGTCCAATTTAAAACTTGTTAAATGTATTAAAACTTTAAATATGCTCTGGTGCTCCTGTTGTATATTTAGAGATACTTGATAAAAATCTAAAGGAGAATCTGCAATGTCATCACCTGACACCTCGGCTTCAGTTACTTTCCCACCGCCATAATGTAGCTTCCTTTCGCTTTTTCTATAAATACTTTCATGGTAATTGCTCTTATGAGCTCTTTTTATAATGCTTAGACTCTATGAATTTTAGTGCAGTATTAGATTGGTGATAACGGCTCATCATTTTACAATTGAAATGGCTAAATGAAAGCGCAAGTTCTATGCTAACAGTTTCTTTACTCGTGCTTCCCGTTTGTGGAACTCTCTTCCAACCTCCTCCTCCTTCCCAGTCAAATTTAATCTTTAAAAATGTAAGTGTCAATCGTTATCTACTGTCTTCTTAATTCTTGTTCTTTTTACTTTTCTCGCTCTTTAATAATGTTTTTTTTTTCCTTTTCTTACAATATATTTTCTTATATATACTCAGTAACCTCTTGCGTCTCAGTGGTTTTGTTCCTTGTCTGAAATGATTTTAAAAAAGAAGGTTAAGAAAAGTCAACTCTTCTAATGCGATTTAATGACAAAAACAGAATCTTGTCAGAGAGTCCAATGGAATTGTTCACCCACGCCCGTTCTTTCTTTCTCTCTCTCTCTCTCTCTCTCTCTCTCTCTCTCTCTCTCTCTCTACCGTGTTAATTATTTATTTATTTATGGTCAGGAATTCTGATAGTAATAAAGAGAATGAAGTCAAAGGATACCTATTGTTCTTGAAAGACAAATGTGGTTGAAATATGGAGGGATAGACAAGATATGTTTTCGGAAACTGGGAAAATCACTCAAAGGATCGTTGCTTTCTCTGGCGCTAAACTGTAAATAACGGAGGTGGAACTGGGCTGACAGTAGTTTCCATCGGGAAATTCCGAAGAAGGAAGCTTCAAATGTCGTCACCGTCCGCCACACAGGCGTCACTGATTTTAGTTTGAGGAATTGGGGGAGGGATATTTTGATGGCCTCGGTTCCTCTACCCCCCACCCCCCCCACACACACACACTAAAAATCTGCGTTTCTCTATCCAGTGGCTCATCCCTGGCTTGTTCTCGTCTTTACTGACAGTATGGCGGGGACTTCCGGTTGGTTTGAGGAGAAAGGAATTCAAATGAAGGATGGAAGAGAATGGATCATAAAAAAGACACAAGGGCGAAATGAGAAAAAAAGATCAGACAAAAATAAGAAAAAAAACAAGGGAGAAATAAAGGAATGTAAAAAAGGGGAAAAACTAAATATAATTGAAATAAAAAAAAAATTAAAGAAGGAATATATATATATATAATATATATATATATATATATATATATATATATATATATATATACACATATTTATATAGAATTGAAATTTTAAAAGTTATTAAAAATAAAATGACAAAAAAAAAATGAAAAACGTTTTTTTAATCAGACATTAGTAATCAGGAAAGGGTTTTCTTTCTGTTTTTTCTTCAAAATAAAAGGACAAAAGACATGATGTAAAATGAAAGAAAGAAAAAAAAACGAAAAAGACAGAGAAAATATTTGTAAAATTCGAGAAGAAAGGAACAAATGAATAAATGTTGAAAGAAAGAAAGAAAGAAAGAAAGAAAGAAAGAAAGAAAGAAAGAAAGAAAGAAAGAAAGAAAATATAAAACGACAAAAAGATATCTAAAAATCGAGAAGGGAGGAAAGATCAAATGAATGAATCATAAAAGAAAGAAAGAAAGAAAGAAAGAAAGAAAGAAAGAAAGAAAGAAAGAAAGAAAGAAAGAAAATGGAAATTTGAACAGATAAAATATTTCTAAAATCGTGAAGGAAGGAACAAATGAAATAATTATATAGGAAAGTAAGAATGAACGGAAAATATTTCTGAAAAGGAGATAAGATAAAAGAAAGAAAGAAAGAAAGAAAGAAAGAAGAAAGGAAATAGAAATGTGAAAAGGTAAAATATTTCTAAAATCGAGGAAAAAGGAAGGAATTTTTTTAAGAAACAAATGAAGACATGAAACGAAAAGTAAGAATATATACAAAGAAAAAGAAAATATTTCTGAAAAAGCGACAAGAAAGAAAAAAAGTAAGAAAAAAGAAAGAAAGAAAGAAAGAAAGAAAGAAAAAAAAGAAAGAAAGAAAGAAAAGGAAAGGCAATCCAAAGAAAAAAGGGACGAAAGAACATTTTTTTTTTAAATATCACATATTTTGAAACAAGAATGAAGAAAATTTTTTTCGTTGGAAAGTCTAAGGTGTAAAAAAAAAAAGAAAAGAGGGTGAATCAAGGAATAAAGACGACCCATTAAAAGCGGCGTTGATTTATGGAAATGAAACTCTTCAGGCCAAACGTCATGCGTGTTTCGTTTGATTGTTCGGCTTGCTTCATCACCGGAAGTCATGAAATCTAATTCGTATGCGTTTAGCTTTAATCATGAAAAAGGAAAGCAAAAGACTTAGATGAATTGGAAGAAGAAGAAATAGGACAGGAGAGGTGGGGGGAGAATGGAAGAGGAAGGCTTGGAGAAGTGGTGGGGTGGGAGAAATGAGGTTGGGATAGAGGAGAGAAAGGAGAAAAAGAGCACAAAGTGAATAGGAAAAAAAAAACAGAAGATGAAAGTTGACTGGGAGGTAGAAGACGATTCGAAATGAGAGAGGAGGAGAAAGATAAAGAGGAAGAAAAAAAAAAGAAGAAAAGAAGCAAAGATGAAGAGAAAAGAAAAAAGAGAAATGAACAGAAGAAAAGAAAAAGTATTTGAGTTTAAATCCAACAATGCCTAGAAATAAACGAGAAAGAATAAGATGAAGTTGATAATAAAGAAAACTGTGGAAAATAAAGCAGACGTTCACCTGATGAACGGTTTCATCATCCACGGCTTCAGGTATCTGCGGTCAGTACCAAAAGTAAATTCGTAAGTTTCAAATAATAATTGTCGCAAAACCCCAGAATAATAAAAATTAAATAAAATAAAACTTAAGCTTTGTTTTTATGACAGTGAATTGTTATATTAGGTTGGTGCAAAAATAATGACGTAAGAATGTCGTTTTCGACGTTAAAAAATACGAAAAAAAACGACATTATTACGTCATTATTCTGAAACCAACCTTTTCCTTGAATTTCTAATTGTTTATTTATGAGATGAAATACGGAATATTCCACATTTTTATATTTTATCTATTTTATTATTAGTTATTGTTCTTAATCTCTTATTGGCGTTAATATGATCTGCGGAAAGAGCGAGTCTGTTATGTTTTTTTTTTAATATTCATTTATTCGTCCGTATCCTGGTTAAGACGATAAACTACATCCGCGTCCTGGGTAAAGTTGGATATAAATCAGGAGGTTCCAATATCAAGGCCTTGATGATGTTCTCAGGCTAAGATGGGTAAATAAAGTTAACCCCAAACTGGGTCAAAAACACCATGGAAAAATGTAAAAATAGGTTTTAATACCAGAAATATTTTGTAAAAAAATTATTGAGTAATAAATCTTTCAAGAAAAATTATTGCGGGCAATACATTTTTGAAAAAAAGAAGATATTGCCAGCAATACATTTTGAAAAAAAAATATATTACCAGCAATATATTTTTAAAAAAATATTACCAGCCATAAAAATCTTGTCGGCATTAAATAACCCATTGAGGTGTTGATATGCCGTAAAACAAATCAAACCCAACCCAAATCATTTATTCGTTCATTTTTTCATCGAGATTTTAGTATTTTAAAAAATGATTTATCTTTCTTTCTTTCTTTCTTTCTTTCTTTCTTTCTTCCTTTCTTCCTTTCTTCCTTCCTTTCTTCCTTCCCGCGATAAGAACGAATCTTCTGTTAAATACATTTTATTCTTTTTATTCCAATAAATTGGGGTAATATTGTTCATCTGCATTTTATTCTGCCTATTTATCAACTTTATATGTTAGTTTCGTCAATTTACCGACATATCAAATGTTGTTTGGTTGTTTAATGTCTAATATACACTTCGTAAAACAAATTAATAGATATGTAGACCTTCTAGATCTGAACTGGTGGAACAAAGGAATGTAGCTCGTCTGAACAATGGAATTAGCAATAGGATTAAGGGGTTTGGGATGTTTTGTCTTTATAAGAGGGTTTGTACAGGTTTTAAAATAATCCATCACAGACAAGGCCGTATAATCTTCTTTAAAATCTGTCATGGCTGAATAGTGAGGACCGAGCAACAAATGAGAAGATTTGAAAGGGGACTTCCATTTTTTTTCAACCTAATCTGATATTATAATTAGACAAAGCGTGTAGAAGGAACACATAATTTTTATTTTTAGTGTGAGACGATATAATGAGTTGTTTTAGGTTTTGATCCATTAACATTCTCAATAGAAATAGCAAAGGAGTCTCATTAAGAATACAACCGCTCATCAGGACGGCAGCAGATTCGGGGTCTGCTTAGTGGTGATTCTCTGTTAAAGGGTATAAAATAAATATTTTCAAACCGGTTAATATTTATGCTTTTCGTTTGCGGTATTAAATTCCTAACTGAACAACGCTTAAAATACAGCGCTTCTCAAACAGAATCAGTTTTTAGTTGATTTTTAATTGTACCACTCGTGACCTGTTAAGCAAGACTTAACCAACAATGGACGCTCTTTATTTTAGCTTACAGCCACAGAATAATGTTATCACTCACTATGAATAGCAGGCGAGCGAAAGCGTGTCAGAGGGTCAGGTTAGTGACGTCACTAGTCGAAGACGCTTTCTGCCTACTCAGAAGGCGTCAGGACGCAAGCCATAGAGCAATGATAATAAAATTAGTTCTCATCGTGAATTTCTAGAATAAAGACGTTGTTCTAATGAGTTTATTGAGAACTGTTATAATCCTTGCAGGCTCGTATATTATGAATTTGATTTACAATTATAAACTAATTATTAAAAGTAAACTTCAGGAAAATATTCCGCTAATGTAATTTTATTAATCATTTCACCCCATACAAGGCAGTAAAGCCACTAAGACACGAAGGGTTACTGAGTGTGAAATAAGAACAAAGAGGAACATTATTAAGAAGTGAAAGAACAGAAGAGCCGAATGAAAGCTTATTACAAATAAAGAAAATTGAACGATATGTTGAAACTGTAATAGCATAGAACTTACGGTTGCATCTCGCCAATTCAACCCTAAACTGATGAGAACTTGTCACCAATCTAGTATAGCTCTTAAATTCATAATGTCAAGGTACCATAGAAAAGAGTGATATTTATTCATAATTATTTACAAAATATGGCACAAATGGGGAATGGGGAAAAAGACGGTCTTCATTTGTCTTTAATTTAAACTTAACTAGCATATGCATTTTTTGTTTAAAGATAACATGATATTCCATAACAACAAACAATGCATTTTTATCTTTTTCTTTTTACATCCACCATAATTTTCATTGTCTCTAAAAAAAAACCATAATATTATGTACATTGTCAAATTATAAATAAAACAACAATTTAAAAACTAGCCCCAACAATATGAAAATAAAACCACAGAGAAGAGTTTATCCGAAAAATTACTATGAAAGTATTTATAGAAAAGGCACATGAGGAACTACATTATGGCCATGAAAAAGTGACTGGAGCTGAGATGCCAGGTCAGGACTTGTAATATTGCTGATTATTCTTTGAATTTTACCAAGAATCTTACTTATTATAAAACGCAGATTGTGTGTGTGTGTGTGTCTGTAACGTTTATATATTGGATCGGATTTCCTACATTTTTCAATTTGATTTCAACAAAACTTCACAGGACTACATAAAATTACTTTGTGGTGGTTCTAACAGCGCCAAAAATGGGAAAAATATAATTGTTTTTGCACAAAATCAATTTGAAAACACGATTAAGAGACATCGTGAAAATGGAAGGGGACAACTCACATCGGGTTGTTTTGTTTGGGTTCCTTTAAATATGGGAAAATTTCCTATATTTTTCAGCCGATAAAACAAAACTTCACTTTTTTTTTTTTGGCAGGTAGTGTTTCTTATTCTCTTGCACACTTTTTTCTTTATTTTAACATTCAGAATGCTTTAAAAATTCCATTTAAAGACAATTATTTATAATAAAATTCTATTCAATCGGTAGACTCATAACGATTGAAAACAATGTTTTTGTTTGAGTTTGGGTTTGACCAATTCAAAAAAAAAAAAAAAAAAAAAATTAAGACATGCGTGTCCGTTTTAAACAATAATTTAACGATTTTACTGATTGTACGAATACAAACATCGGATAAATTTTTATCTTTAGGGAAAGATAATGAAATCTAAACATACACAAGTCCTAACTAAAAAATAATAACCGGAACGGGAAACTACTTTAAATACACATGGTGTCCAATTTTTTTACTGTATTCAATAAGTAAAAATCATAAATTGTAAAAAGATTATTATTACAGAAAGGCTACTAAATGAATAAGATTTGTTAGATCATAATTAATAAACCCAAATAAAGTTAATATTTTTGTATTAGAAACAACGAGTGGAAAATATATTCAAATCAGAATTCTAATTATGAATCACCACAAGCAAAATATGCAATTTTTTTACTGTATTCAATAAGTAAAAATCATAAATTGTAAAACTAAAAAGATTACAGAAAGGCTACCTACATTTTCAACCGATTTCAACAAAAACTTTTTTTTTTTGGCATGTAGTGTTTCTTATTGTCTTGCACATTTTTTTTTTCTTTATTTTTACATTCAGAATGCTTTAAAAATTCCATTTACAAGACAATTGTTTATAATAAAATTCTATTCAATCGGTAGAGACTCATAACGATTGAAAACAATATTTTTGTTTGAGTTTGGGTTTGACCAATTTGAAAACCAAAAAAAAAAAAAAAAAAAAAAAAAACTAATTCAGACATGCGTGTCCGTCAACCTTAAACAATAATCTTTTGTCAATTTTATTTTTCAGTCTTTATGATGGTGGATACTTGATCTATCTCTTATTGTTAACCAGAATTGTCAACGCCGGGCTCTACTGCTAGTATATATATATATATATATATATATATATATATATATATATATAACATATATATATAAAATATAACAAACGAGGCTTAAAATTAAGCAAATTCAAAATATTGAATTTAAAACAGGGCTCAATAAAAAAGCAGAAATTTAAATTATTTTTTAGGCTTTTAAAATGAAAACATTAGAAATAAAAAATCAATACCCATTCAGAACTGTTCATCTTGTTTCAAAGTTAAAAAACATCGTGATTTCCCTTTTGATGAAACTTTAGGAATATTTTTTTTAACGTTGAACCAAAGCGCAGTTTTTCTTAAATTTATGATGCATATTCTAAATAAATATAACATCAATATATATATATATATATATATATATATATATATATATATATATACAGTAAGCAAACTTTCTTAGCAACAACCTAGCAATGGATTCAATTTTAAAGAATTTAAAAAGAATTTAGACAAGGAAACTGCTATGTTAAAATGAAACAGTTAGAAAGAATCCAAACATTCATGTGCGTGTTTGGACGTTTGAAAAGTGAATTCAAGGAAATTGGTAAGCCCCATACTTTTGGTCTATGCTACATCTAAATTTTTCAAAAATCACCATTCAATTGTGTGCAAAGTATGTGCCTTGTGTGTGTGTGTGTGTGTGTGTGTGTGTGTGTGTGTGTGTGTGTGTGTGTGTGTAAACATGTTTTTGTGGTTTTTTTCTAGTTGACCTTTTTTTCATTAAAAAATTTTAGTGGAATGATTTATCAAAAACTGCCACAAAATGAACTCTTATAACTCAGAGACTGTAAAAGACACATAAAAAGAAATTTTGTTTAATACATAAATGACGAAGGAATGCTTGAAAAAATTTAACCCTAACAGGGAAAACTTTGAGCAAAATTTAGACAAAAAAGACAGCTTGTTCTTACCTAACCAACATGTGTGAATGGATAGCTGAAACAAAGGCAGGGGCCTTATCAAAGAGAGAACAACTGCTAAGGGTCACAATAGATAAGGATTTGGGGAGAGCCATGGTCGGCACGAAGAAGAAGAAGAAGAAGAAGAAGAAGAACAACAACAACAACAACAACAACAACAACAACAACAACAATAATAATAATAATAATAATAATTGATGCTCTATTCTTTTTTTTTAAAAGGCCGCGTCAGACAGTGGCTTAAACTACAAAGGAGGACACAGGTTCGAACCCTGTCGGAGAGCACATTTCTTTATTAAATCTTTCGAATGCCCAGGTCGGTAGACATAATTAACATAATTACAACATTTATTCACGATCTAGACATAATAAATACATCACTCCATAGTTTACCCTTACTTTCACAGAAATAATATAATTAAGAGTATTTTTGAGCGTTATTAAATTTATAAATAAATGTTTGAAAATAAAATCCTTACAGTCTTTTAATAAAGTTAGTTACAAAATTGCATTTATATTTTATAATGTTATTTATATATATATATATATATATATATATATATATATATATATATATATATATATATATATATCCCAATTTAACGTTATTTTTAGATAGATATTTTTTGTGACGTACGGTGGCTGTTAATAATTAAGTATAACTCAAGACTTCAATATTAAGATAAAACAGTATTTAATTACAACCGCAAATAAGTACTTAACAAGAACAAAGCAGTAAAAGTCAACCAAAGATAATTAACCATTTCAGTGAATACCTTGTTAGATGCGCGGCTCGACTTAACGTCCGGTAAATTATAAATCAAAACCCAGATCATCGACGCACAATCATTCACACTAATTCGACTGGATAGTTCCACTCAATAGTCATTTAATAATCACTTCAGTCAGTAGCCTGACACCGCTATATATTCACCTGTCGGAAAACATATATTCCTAAGTCCAGAGTGTCACGTTCGAACCTTGGTAGTTACTCATTTTCTTAATATATCACAGATA